AAAATGTAGATACTTCTATATAACGTGTGTATAGAGGGTATAAACAGCAATAGGAGAAGGTTGGGAGCCGCCATTTTGGTGAGGAAGGTGGCATCGTCTGCACGACTTATGTTGTTTACTGGTGACCACTATAGTCTTTGGACACCATACCAGTTTACTTGTACAAGTATGGTGAATAAAACAGGTAGATACTTATATATAATGTGTGTATATAGCGTAATAACACCACAAACAGTAGTGTTGGAGGAGAAATATTAGTGCGTCTGGCCTTGAGGGCGGCCGCCACCAGTTGACTGTGTGAGTAGCTACCTCTTGGTGCCTTTACTCACCATACAAGCTTAGATGTACAGTTATGGTGAACAAAAGATGTAAATACTTATATATAACGTCTGTATATAAAAGCAAAAACAGAATGGTGGGAGGAGAATGGTGGCAAGTCAGGTAAAGTGAGGGAGGGAGGGAGTGGCAGCCAGTGGCGGGCTGCCACTGGCTGCCATTGCCACTGCCACTCAGCATACCAACTTAGTGGTTCGTTATGGTGAACACGAATGTAGATACTTTTATATAGCGTCTGTATATAGTGAATAAAAGCAAAAACAGTATTGTGGGAGGAGAATGTGGGTGAGTCAGGTGACTTGAGGGAGGGAGGAAGTAGCAGCCAGTGGCAGGCTGCCACTGGCACTGCCACTCAGCATGCCAACTTAGTGGTTCGTTATGGTGAACACGAATGTAAATACAGTACTTATATATAACGTCTGTATATAGTGAATAAAAGCAAAAACAGTATGGTGGGAGGAGAATGTGGGCAAGTGAGGTGTTGAGGGAGTGAGTTGCTGGCTGGTGTGTGGCAGTCACTTCTCGATACTTTTTGACTTAAAATAGCAGCTTAGTGGTTCGTTATGGTGAACAAAACATGCAGATACTTATATATAACCTGTGTATATAGTGTAATAACTGACAAAGTATTTGTTCACTGTTTGATGAACATAATTGAATCTACAATATGCACACCATATTTTTGAGTACAGTGATGATTCACTTATTTTATTATATAAATATATCACACTACACACTATTGAATAATATTACAGCAAAAAAACTATGAAAAATCAATCAGAGACATTGAAATAATTAGGTAATTATCTCTTTGTGGCAACTCCGGCCTGACAGCTGGCAAGCAACAAAACGTCTGGGACGCACGCTGAGTCAGCGCCTGTTTTTTGCCAGACTTCCCCTCCCTATAGTGGGCAATATATGCCACTTACGATTTTTTTATTATTTTTCCCATGATCAGTGAACACAAATTAACAGGTTTGGAAGAAAATATAATTTTTTTTTTTTTTTTTTGGTATGCGCCTGTGAGTGACACGTGCTAAATAGCCAGGCGCCATACAAGGGTTAACCCCTCAACTGCGCAACACGCCTGCAGGCCCTCGACGGGGGGTGTGCAACGCGCCTCCAAGAATTTTATATTTTTAGCGTATAATTCAAAACTCCCGCGGCTACATGGGGTTCACATCAGCTTCCTCAGGGCTCTTATAAACAGATGCCATCTTTAAAAAAAATCGTGGGCAACATTCCCGGGTGTGAGAGCCTCAGTACTGAGTGAGCAACCAAGGCTGGCACACGCATCATGAGCTCACAGCACTGCTGTTCAGCTTGTGACCACAGCATCACCAAATAATGTCAAAATATATATATAACTTGTATTATTTAGCCATGATAGTATTATAGAAGAGCCTGAGTGTGATAATGACTGGGTACAATGTTCAAATATCAGTGATTCAATGCTGTTCGCAATGTTCACAGCGCTAGCCACAGCACCACAGCATTATTTCATCCATCTAGGAACCTTCAAACGATTTCTTATGTTACTTTACAAAATAAAGCTGTAGTCAGTTATTCATTTACAGGATTTAGTGGCCAGGATTGTGAGAATAGCTGGATTTTGGTGATAATTAGCGCTGTGCGTAGTATTGTGAAAGGAGGAAGTTTGGTGAGGGAGGGAGAGAATCCAGATTGCGTCACTGTGTGGGGCAGCCACTCTTGTTTTGCTCACTATACTAGCTTAGTGGTTCGCTATGGTGAACACATATGTACATGGATATATAGAATGTGTGTATATAGTGTAATAACAGCAACAGGAGTTAGTTGGGAGGAGCTATTTTGGTGAGGGAGGTGACGTCATAATAGCATCGTCTGCTGGCTGCTGTGTGATTTCTCATGCAGTGTATGGTGGCCACTGTGCTGTTTGGACACAATACCAGCTTACTTGCATAGTTCTGGTGGATAAAACATGTAGATACATATACATAACATGTGTAAATAGTGTAATAAAAACAATAACAGTATGGTGGGAGGAGGAGTGATGACGAGTACGATGTTGGAGGAGTGAGGGCTGGCTGGCTGGGAGTGGCAGCTCACACTTGCGGAGTTCTGAGTGTGTTTATGGTGAATGTATATAGTGTGTGATAGTGTATAGTGTGTAAATATGTTGTAAATATACATAAATGAACATGAAACATTGGTGTGAGTAACAGTATGGTGGGAGGAGGAGTGATGGTGAGTACGATGTTCGAGGAGTGAGGGAGGACTGGCTGGATGTGGCAGCTGACACTCGCTGAGTTCTGAGTGTGTTTATGGTGTGTGTATATAGTGTGTGATAGTGTATAGTGTGTAAATAGATTGTATATATACATAAATTAGCATGATACATTAGAAGTATGTGCAAGATATGTGTACACGTGTGCCATGCATGTATCTCAGTGTCTTCGGACAGTACGGATGTTCTACTGCCATAATATAGTGTACATGTTCATTATACATAGGATTGGCACGAAAAAAACAAATGAAATGTATTTGTAACTTTTTTTTTTTTTTTTTTTTTTTTGAGATATATATACAAGAGTTGCTACATTCTTGTACAGCCACTAGTACGCACAGCGTTTCTGGCAGGTCCCTGGAATATGATCCCCGCCACGAAGAATTGTTTTTACAACCAAGTACCCATTTAACTGTTGAGTTAAACAGAGGCTACAGTTAAGGATTTGCGCCCAGTAAATCCTCCCCGGCCAGGATACAAACCCATGACAAAGCGCTCACGGAACACCAGGCAAGTGTCTTACCACTACACCACGGAGACTGGGTGCTGAGCGCAAAAGTGAATAAAAATATATTCGTGGCAACTCACGCATCTTGAGCCGGGCACCCTATTGGCCCTGGGAGCATATGCCACAGGGGACCGGGGATTGATGACAGCACGCGCGAATTGACGGACACCTTAGTAGCCAAAGTAAGTAGTGGTACCTCGGAGTACGAGCGTCCCTGTTTACGCATTTTTCGGATTGAGTGTCCCTGTTAACGCGTTTTACGGATTACGAGCAGGATTTGCTCGGAAAATTTACATCGGAATATGAGCGTTGCCTCGGAATACGAGGGTGTTGATACTCGTACAGGCCGACCTAGCGCATGGTGGCACGGCGATCGCCACTCAGTTTACCAGTGCCTCGTGCCCAGTGACTATCACGCCTCAATTCTTCACAAGGATTTACAGTGTTTTGTCGAATATTTGGCCATTTGAACATAAAAGTTGTTATTATATATCTCGCAATGGGTCCCAAGAAAGCTAGTGGTAAGGTTCAACCTAAGAAAATAGTTGTGAGTAGAGGCAGTAGAGGATGTCCCTTCCTCATTAAGAGAATGTGTGAAGTATGGGAAGAACTGCTAAGTTTTGTTGAAAAAACTCAACCAGAAAAGCTGTAGCAGGCCGTTGCATTGACCTTTTAAATAACAATGTGATGTCTTACTACAGTCAAGTGTTAAAATGTATGGAAAAAGAAGTGTCTTTAGACAGATTCTTAGTAAGACAAGCAAGCAGTGAGCCACAAGCAGGTCCAGGTGGTATGCAGGCAAAATGTGCCAGAGAGTGCACACCAGAGAAGTCCTCACTGCCTAATGTTATAATGGAAGGGGACTCCCCTTCCAAACAGTAACACCTCTCCTTCTCCCCCTCATCATCTTCCATACACCAACAGTAGTCATCAGCAAGGGTAAGTAATAACTTGAACATACTTTTGTAGTGAAGATTTATATGAATTAGGTGTAAAATTTAGTTTGAAGTGAGGTTTTTGGGTAGTCAGGAACAGATTAATTCATTTCCCATTATTTCTTATGGGGAAATTAGCTTCGGTTTACGAGTTTTCAGATTACGAGTCGTCTCCAGGAACGGATTAAACTCTTAAACTGAGGTACCCCTGTACAATTTCGACTTTTTGTTAACATATCCATACTCAGGGAAAGGTTTTTGATACTTTAAAAAAACAAAAAAAACAGAGAATTTATTTCCTACGCACGGGGGAGGGGGTGCCGTATTCGGAAGCCGAGCAGCCCAGTGGTTAAGATGTTTCTAAAGTGAGACATGGCATTGTCAATCAGCAGGTTTATAACATGGTTTGTCAGGGTGATAATTTTCATGAAAATGTTTGCCATTTTGCACACATTCCTTTTATTAGAGAACTAGATTTAGGAATACCAAACTCTGTATCAAGAGCAGACACACGGACACCACTTTCATATTCAGCTACGAGTTCTTTCTTCATCTGTATCATGATCAAGAATATAATTTTTTTTTTTTTTGCTTGGCCCTTATCACTTATCATAGGTGACATGGCGACTTATTTACACTAAGAATATCAAACATATCCAAAATATCCAAGAGAAAAGTGTAGTGGGTTGTGTAGTGAACAACAGCTATGGTGAAACTGAAGCATCAGGGATGCATGTTTACTTCTGAATGCTGTGCAAACGGATGAATACCGAACATGAACACAGTGTCTGAATACTGTAACGTGTGAATTGGAAGCAATGCAAATATCGAGGTTCCTCTGTACAAGGAAATTATGTAAATATTATATAATTTGTATTGATAAATACAGTACAGTACTGTAATATTACTTTTTGTTGCAAATACATCTAGCTTAACCAAATATTCTTTTCCACAGGATAACAAGCCAGAGGAATGTTCAGTGTGTTTTAACGATTATGACGACAATCAGCTACGGCCTCGCACATTGCCGTGCGGCCACACATTCTGCTCCCAGTGTATTGACAATGCTATCAAGAATGGTCAGGTGACCTGCCCCAGCTGCCGTGCCGAGCATGCTGCCACAGCTGCTACTCTGTTCCCAATTAATTATGGTATGGAGGCCCTTATCAGAAAACTAAAAGGTATCGAGGTTGTACCAGGGGTAACAGTACCAGCAAAACCCATTAAAACTCCTGCGAGAGGAATCAGCAAGAAGTTACGTTCCCTGGTGCAGGAGCAGAAGAGCATCATCAGCAGCCTCATTACTAGCTGTGAAGAGGTACTGTCCCAGCTGGGGGAGTACCGGGGGCAGCTGGGGGACTGGAAGACTCACCACCTCCAGCTCCAGGACAGACTCTATGCTCTGGTAGAGCAGAACAAGTCAGCAATGAAGCTCTTGGAACTGGAGGATACAAGTGTGGTGGATATGACAACACAAGGAGAGGAAGGGAAGACTCAGCTGCAGGCCATGTTGGGGAACCTCGACACAGTCAACACCCCACAGGAGGTTGGCACAACCATAGACACAGCTGATGAGTGCAGCATAAAGATAGAAGATTGGCTCCAGAAGTGCCAGAAACTCTTCCCAGATGTCAAGACTGTCCACACCTCAGTGAAGGTACGCTGCTGAAGGTCACATTGTTCTCACCCAACTGTGTAGTATTGCCTCTATATAAACACTTTTGACATGGAGACACATCAAGATGGGAGTTGACTTTATATATAGGAAACTTTCTGGGGGAAGCCCCTTCTGCTTCACGAAGCTATCCGGACTGATATGAATGTATTAGACCCTGGCATCAGTCAAGCGAATGGAGTTCTAGGCCTAACGGGGACCACGAGCCAGAACCTGGCCTCCCCTCAGAAAGGCACGACGAGCAATGACCTATAGAAACCCCCGTGTGGTTGAAAGCATTCTATGTCTGCCATCGACCGGGTAAGGCACCCAGAGAAGTAGGCGTCCCAAAACAAACCTCTATTCTGGTTAGAAGATTGCTACTGAAACCCGAACTATTGGACAGAACTCTCCAAATGAAAAATGAGCAAACGAGCATAACGTCACAACCGTCACCGTGCCACCGTCTGTGCAGCTCCCCCCCCTTCCCGGGAGGGAGTAGGGGAGCCCCAGACCCCCGTGCCAGCTATCCACACACCAGTTCTGTGGCTGATGTGCTTCCTGGACGGTTGTGCGACTCTGGCTCTGAATTTTCCAGTGCTGTGCCTTGTGATGTGGTCCTGTCCTGTGGTGGTGTGCGAGCCAGGAGTACTTTTACCAGTACTCGGTCTGCTTGTGCCTAGGGTTACCTTCCCTAGGTAGGTAGCCCTAGAGTACTGCCTGTAAGTACTGCACATGGAGCTTGGGGTTACCTTCTACAAGTCACCCTTGGGGTCTACCGCTGCTGTGGATTTTGCTGCTCGGTGATTACCCTCCATTGGAGTCAGCTGGGGTGCTTCATGCACCCCCTCTTTGCCTCTGGGAAGGAGGTAGTTTTCGTCACTGGTTGGGATGCAAGGTACTGTGCAGCTAGTTGTCACCTACTCATAGTGGCCGGCTCTGTTCCGCCTGGGCACGTTGTGCTCCTGTGAGATTTTTTGTTTTTTTATTGTTTTTGTTTTCCTGCCTGGTGGGGGGTCTGCCCCTTGGTTTTGGTCCTCGCTCCAATTATATCTTGGTAGTCCTCTACTAGGTACCCATGAGTGTACATGTCCCGTGAGTTCAGCAATTTGCAGTTTGTTTTGGTAATTTTTGGCGCTGGTTAGCAGTACTTAGTCTAGGCTTCCCCTAGTGAGAATACGCGACAAAGGGCCCTGGAAAACCCCATGTGGCTCAGTGGTCTGATGGAGGCGTCCCTCGAGTCCCATCTTGCTTCGTACGAGTTTAAAGGTTGCTCTGTCTCCTTATCTCAGGGTGACACTCATCGTTTGTGCCTCCGTCATGCTGCCTGTTGGGTCGGTGACACCTTCAACCTGGAGTTCTGCGAGTTTTGTTCCTTGTTTGTGCTCCAGTACACCCAGTCCACTGATAATGATCTTCAGGTGCAGGCAGCTACGGCATTGCATGCGCGTTTTAGGTTGCTGCAATGAGCTAGGTTGGATGCTCACCCAGAAGCCCTGAAACTGCCCCATGTTTGGTTATAGGGACCCAGATTTGGGGGTGTTAGTCGTTTCGATTTTGGTTTCGTCAGTGCCCCCTTGTTCTTCCCTTGCTGCTGTTCGTTTTGTTCCTCCCCCCTCCCCCCCTGCTTCTGGCTCCGATGCGTCTGAGAGTTTCAGAGTCGGGGTAGGGTTTAGTTGGTGTTGAGACTCTGGCAGTTTCAGGGGATGCCCCTTCCTGTGTGACGATGGAGGCATTCAAGCCTGTTCCTTCAGCTGGTGCTTCTGGGTTTGACCAGTGGGCCCTCTTTGTTCCAGCTTTTCCGGCGGCTTCTGCCTTTTCTTTTGAGGCAGGGGGCTTGGAGGACGGCTCAGCCCCGGGTCCTGATGTGGAGGTTCCCGGGGCAGGTGGAGGGGTTGACTTGGGAGGCTTGGGCCCATTTCACCCCGCTTGGTTTTTGGTACTCTCTGAGCAGGGCTTGTTACAGGGGGTAGGGTTTTCTTATCTTCCCTCCCTGTACGAGTTTGATATGGCATCGACCCCTCCCCAGATTCGGTTCTGTGTTTCCTTGTGTGCTTCAGTCCAGTCCTTCCGGAGGTTTTTAGCCTCTTGCATCCTGCCTCATGAGGTGCAGGAGGCTCTTACGGTGGTTCAGGTTTACCTGGGGGACAACTTTGAGCACCTCAATGCGTGCTTGTTCGCCCCTGCCCTTCCTCGGGATGTCGGCATTGTGCAGCTTCACATGCAGGTTCCCACCCTTTTAGCTGCCCTGGTTGCTGAGGATTTTTGCGCCCGTGGCCTTTTGGTGTTGGTATTGCGGTTCTTTTCCCTTCTCGAGCGGTCTTTGAATTGACTTAAAGAGGACATGGAGGCACTTGGGACCGATCCTGGGTCTAATGGTTTTGAGTTGGTTTTGGTAGTGCGGGCATCGTCTGCCCTGTTGAAGCTGTTCGCGTTGATCCTGCGGGATGTGGTGTCTGTTTTTTGTTTCTTATCTCACATGTCGGCAGGCGGTGATCGTTCAATCCATGGAATCAGCTTGGGCTCTGGTTCTTAGTTTTCTTTGCCTGTTTGTCCTTTGCTGTTTGCAGAGTCTGCGGTGGTGCAGTATCTTCAGGTAGCCTTTTCCGGTTTCCGTCCCATATTGAACTTGTTTGTTCTCCAGGGGGCCTGTGGGGAGGTCGTCCCAGAAGGGTTGTGCTAGGGCTTGGGGTTCCTTTTGTCGTAGTAGGCCAGTGGTGCCAGTTTTGGGGACGACACAGCCTTCGGAACTGACGACGGCTGGTTAGCGCGGTGATCGCTCTGCTCATAATGGGCTTTTCATATCGTTTCTGATGGCCTGCGGTGGTGTTGGGTGGCCCCTCCTCCTTTAGAGGGTTCGGGGCTGGTGGGTGGGTCCCTCAGGTGGGTCCTGCATGTTTCCGGTTCTGAAACGGGACTGTGCAGACCTGCAGTTTATTCTGGACTTGTTCTGTCTGAACCCTTGGGTCTCCTGCCCCTCCTTTCGGATGTCTACTCTGTCCCAGGTCTGTCTTTTCTTGGAGCCGGGCACTTGAATGGTGTCCCTTGACTCCGGGATGCATATTGGCATGTCCCAATTCATCTGGGGTTCAGGGACTGGCTTGGTTTTGTTGTGGGGCATCAGGCTTACCATTTTCATTGCCTTCCATTCGGCTCGAATCTGGCACCTTGCGTGTTCACACGCCTTACCCAGGTCGTGGTGGCCCATCTGCTTTTCTTAAGGGTTCGGGTTTTGGCCTCTCTCGATGACTGGCTGGTGTGGGCTCCCAGCCAGTCCGCATGTCTGCTCGCCAGGGATTTGTTTTTTTCCCAGCTCGCTTGATTCGAGTTCCTGGTGAGCTGGAGAAGTCCCATCTGGTTCCCTCTCAGGTTCGGTCTTGGCTGGGTCTTGTGTGGGACTCTCGGAGTGCTTCCTTGTCTCTTCCTTCGGAGGCCCTTTGGCAGCAGTCCCGCCTTCGCCTGTTTCTGGGGGGCTCCCGGGTCACGCGGCGGTTGCTCGAAGGTTTGTGCGGGAGTCTGAGCTTAGCAGTGATGGTCTACCCACCGGGTTGGGTTTGGCTTCGTTGGCTGTTCTGATTCCTTTGGGGTCATCCCTTCGGCCTCTTTCGCGATCGCTGGGTTTGGCCTCTGGGGGCTTTGCATCAGTTGCTGAGTCGCTGACTTCCTCTTTGGGTTTTTCGGGGGTTCACTGCCTTGCTGCTTACCTGAGCCCTCGCTCAATGTGTTCAAGGATGCATTGTCTCTAGTCTGGGGGCTTTGTTACCAGTGCTCAGAGGACCGGCCAGGGGCGATGAGGTCTTTTCTTCCTGACCCACAGTTTGGTGTGGGAGTTCGCGGCGGTGTGGCTGTCACTTCGTAGGGTTCAGGTTGCTCGCGGATTGATGGTCAGGCTCCATTTGGAGTGCTCCCCAGTGGTTCATTGCCGGGGTTCGATGTGGTCTTTGGCTCATTGGGGCTGGTCGCTCCGGTTGACTCGTCTGCTGAGTTCTCAGTGTTTGGCTCTCCTGGCAGTTCACGTTGGGGGGGGAGGGTGTCCAACGTCCTGGCGGACGGCCTGTCTTGGTTCATTCCACTGTCCATGGAATGGACAGTCGACGCTGACTCGTTCAATTGGCTCTGCCGGACATACGGGCTCCTGGAGGTGGACCTCTTTGTATCTGCATAGTTGGGGCGCCTCCCGTTATATGTGGTACCCTTCCCCAACTGCAAGGCTGTCAGGGTCGACGCCTTCAGGCAGGACTGGTCAAGGTGGGGTTTCCTGTACCTCTTCACCCAGGTTCAGCTGTTACTCCAGGTCCTAACTCGCTTGGAGACTACTAAGGGAGAGTAGTCCTCTTAGCTCCTTGGTGGCCGGCCCAGCCTTAGTTTAGGGTGCTGCTTGCTCGATGTCCAAACCCCGCGGGTCTTCCCGTGGCTCTGCCTCTTTCAGTAGATCGGACCGATCTGTTACGTAGCTGGTTCTATCTTCTCCTTGAGTCTTCATGTCCGGTCTTTTTGATGTGGGTCTATCTCCGTTTGTATGGTGATCAGGTGGCTTTGTTAATGGTGTCCCACCTGCATGCTTCGTCTCTGTGGCAGTATGAAGTTTCCTGGCGGTCCTTCCGTTATTTCTTATCCCTTCGTAGGTCTCTAATAGGGTTGTCCTCTCCTTCCTTTTGTTGTTGTTTTGGGACCGTCATCTTATGCAGATTACTGTATAAACCCGCTAATCCGGACTATATGGGTAGGACCCCATGCCAGATTAGCCGGTTTTCTGGATTAATATACTTTTTCACCGCGTGAGTCCAAAAGTGACCATTTCCAAAAATGTTTGTACAGACAACCACTTGGTTTACAAACTTAAGTTATCCAAAGGCAGGCATGGCGGGACCTGTCAAGTCAGTCCAGTCCAGTCAGTGGAGGAGAGGTAGTGAGGGATGTGTAATTACCTAAGTGTAGTTACAGGATGAGAGCTACGCTCGTGGTGTCCCGTCTTCCCAGCACTCTTTGTCATATAACGCTTT